GCCCATCGTTTCCATCACACATTTTTTTACAAGAGCATAGAATATCATATTTCAGAGTTCATACTGTATTCCAAGGTGTTAACTTTACCATTGTAAGAATCTTGAGTTTCTTATTTGTGCCAAAGAGGATGGCAACACCTGGGGGCTCCATAACTTGAGAATAACGTGTAGCGTAGCCAGGAGGCAGTACCAGATATGGAGGAGATGAGGAGTAAGGCAAGAAAGATGGCAGAGTGTTAACAATATCCTTTTGGTGGGAGCAGGGGCGGGTGCTGAAGCAGTAAGGTTGAAAGGCTGACTTGCTGGTAAATTTCTCTGTGTTTATGGACACAGAGAGTGCCCAACATTTGTTTGCGTAAGTAAAACAAATCTCATGTGAGGAAAAAGGAAAACAGAATTAGATAGCAGTCTGTGATGTAGTAGTTTCACAGGCCAGATGTAAAACTTTAGAATAGGAAAGGACCCATTTTTCCCAGAAATTATTATAATTGAGGCAAACACCTACCTATCTAGGTGGATTTGGCCAGGGATTACTCCCTGGTGACAGGGGAATCTACTAGATAATTTCTAGAAGACCCTCTCTAAAATTCAGGTCTGAACTGAGCCCCTAGATTTTGTTGCGCCAGATCTGGAGTAAGATACTGCCATCTAGTGTTCATTGTTCTTACAGTCACTAGCACCTCACTGCCTATATACACTGGTCTTATCAGGAAAACCCCCAATAATGTAGTCTTTGTCCTTCAGCAGGACAAAATAGACCTAAATATTAACGATACGTAGAAAAAGGAATCAACATTAAATTATTTGTTAAATTAAAATATCATTTTGACAAGAACATAAGAAAGTAGTCACTACAGCATTGAAATGTGAGAATCCAAGGTTCACTTACATTGTCCTTGGGTCAACTAATAGAACACGCAAGGAACTTGTTCTGGAAGCCTTTAACTGGTAGACATAAGCCTAAGTGGTAGACTGTAGGCAGAGAGAGGTTACATATCAAGGTAAGAGCCAATTAGGCTTGTCTGCTGCAGGTAGGAATGTCTTATCATTAGGAGTATCCAGACACAGGCTGGGTACTTTGTGGGAAGAAGACATTTGAACAGCTAGACAGTTGGTTAAAACAATCGTTCAATCTCTTTTTATCCTAGAATTTGAGTCCTAAAGATAGGGTTTTACTACTGTGCCCTATGTTAAGCACAGCACCTGATAGCAGATATAGGCACTCATTTGGTATTTTATTAAATGAAGAAAAGAATAAATTCACTAACAACTTCCCCACAGGAAGAAAACTAGCCTAAATAAAAGTTAGACAAGTCAAAAAAGAAAAGAGTCCATCCTCTGATACTGGTACTCACAACTGAGCCATGTTATTCTGTCGAACCTAAACTATCTCACAGAAAACCAACCCCAGACAAGGTTATTCTGGGACCACAATAACATGAGACAAAACAAGGCCACTTCATAATTTTGTCTAAGCACAGACAAAAATAAGGTCACTGTGCCACCCACAGAATACCAAACACCCTGTCTCTCAGCCAAAATGAGTGACTGCTTCTCCTTTACCAATTATAGCTTATCTTCAGGTGCTCTCCTATATAGACGGGGTTTATAGACACCCCAAATCACAGAATCATCCCTGCTTTCTGACAGCATCCAATCCCGCGTGAAATCTTGATTCTGCAGACCCTCCCCCAAATCACCAAACCAGATTCTAACTCCTACAGAAAGTTCTTTCTAGCACTCTCTTACTGAGACCCCACATATTCCCCATGGTATGTTTTCCCTTGTTGCCGTGAGTAATAAACCTAACCTGTTTAATTTATAGGGTTGCTCCTGATGGTCCTTGGCTGAAGGGCCTTATACTCACTCGCACTTACTGAGGCTGACTACAGGCTGGGCATTATCCTAAACACGCTGTGGGTAATACTTTTCTAATTCTCTCCCTAACCTTCTGGGGTAAAGATGAGGAAACAGAAGCACAGAGAGGTTATTAATAAATAAGCTTCCCTGGGTCAAATAGCTAGTAAGTGGTGGAGCCAGGAATCAGCCCGAACACCTGACTCCAGAGTCCAAGCTTCAAATAGAGCTTTCAAGGTGAAAGGGAGGAATCTGAGTGTGAGTTCTGGGAGAGAAAAAGGCATAAACAAAGGTACAGAGGCAAGAAAGAACTCCTTTACCTGTAAGCATCTTGATTCTCTTAGTAAATTTTATAAAAATCTACACAATCCCTTCCTTTCACTGCATACACCCATTGGTGTTGGTCCCAGCATCCCTAAAGCTGACCCCGGGGGCCGGGTGCAGTATTGGGAGCAATCCATTTGAATGGTTTTGATTCTGCCACTCTGAGTTTTAATGATTAAAGAAAAAAAACCTTCCAGCCTACCTCTACTCATATGATTCTTATTTCATCTCTTCAAAGCCTGGTATGGCATAGATGGGTGTGGCCAGGAGACATAAAATCCTCGTGCACCTAATTCACACCTACTCATCTCCACATTCAAATGTCACTCCCTAGGGAAGACTTCCCTAATTCCCTAGGATAGGCGAAATCCCTTTGTCAAAGCCCATCACTCTTGTCATTACAGTTCAGTACAGTTCTCCCTGCCTGACTTTCAGTTCCATGACAGCAGAGGCCACGTGTGGCTTGTTCACTGCCTGGTACACCACAAAAACTCAGAATTGTTAACTTGAAGGGGGATGAGCATGGGAACTAATTAGTGGCAGAGTTTCAGGGTGAACCAGGTCAATTCGTTTTCCTTCCTACTTTAAGCCCTTGCTTCTTTCTTCTTAATGCATCATGATCCCTGCTATTGTATTTTCTTGACCCAAACTCAAAAATCAGTCAGCAATGCTCAATCAAGTATCTTTCTTTTAACAAGAGTCTGATTAGTCTTTCATAAGCTGCACCTTCTGAAAAGCAAAGCTTCCCCCTCGGGTGAGTTATCCAAGGTCACACTGAGTCAAACAGGAAAGCCTGAAATAAAAATCAGATCAGTTGATTCCCAAGTTGGTGCTTGATCTTCTTTTTAAAGGAATAAAGCAGAGGTAATGGGCTTGAACACTGATTCTTTGATAGTGTTAATCAAATGTGGGCTTATAATGCCTGCAGCTTCCACATGTTATCTATCAAACATAAAAGCATAATAAGCCCTTCAGGAAAAGGTACTTTTTAAAAAGGAACAGGAAAACACAAGAAGTATGGGCTGGATGTATAATTAATATTGTAAAAGTGATTTGAATTTTGATTGTGACTCTGCATAAGCTGGTTTACCATGGTGAAGTTAGGATAAGTCAGAGTTAGAATCAGCTTACTATACAAGCTCTTGGTAGAGGGTTCAGCAAAGCTAAGAAGCTGAAGAAAATACAAATGTCTGTGCATAAAACCTATGTTCTGATCTCCTGAGAAGCCACTTAAAAACGAATAAGACCAGCGCTAAATTCTTAGATACACAGCCACACAGCGAGAGAGTTCAAATAAAAGTCAAGTTCTTAGCCTGCAGCACTAAAAACATGAAGGCCAATTAAAGCTGAGAAAATGGATTATATAATCATACAGCAGGAGACTTAGATCAGTTACAGCAAGGAATTTACTGTTGGGGTGTTAGGAAGAACAGAGCATCCTTTTACCTGGGATGGATTCAGCACAGTTCAGTACAGGAAAGGCACAGAAGGAAAGACAGAGACTACATGAGCTCTCAAACCACCTTCCATCCTGGAGTTTCTGAAAATGTAAGAAGTAAACCACCTCTGCCAAAAAGGGAAGGTCAAGGGATAAACTTTGCACTTCTCTCCTAGATATTTAAGGCTCACCTCCGCCTGCATAAATTATCAGACTAACCAGGCAGCCCCCAAATAATCATGAATTGTTTTGAAATGTTCATTTCTTCCATTTGTGGTGCCCCAAGCAACATCATGAAATAATAAAGGGAAGTGCAACAGGCCAACTCCTATCACCAAAACTTTCTGCATACAGTGCAAAGGCATAAAGATAAGTAGAGTCACTTAGCTAAAGTTTCTCATCAAAAATAATTTTTGACACGGTTTTTGCTTATTTTGTGTAGCAAAATAATTTTTGCTACAACAGTTGTTCAAGTGCTGAGAGAGGTCTGTACATTAAATTGGGGAAAAAGCCATGTAGGCTTTTTGCTATTTTTCTTTGCCTTTTATCTCTTTTATAAGTACAGAATATATAATTATATCTAGAAATCGACCATCTCTTTGTTTTAAACCAAAGAAAATATTTTAAAATAAACCAAAAAATCCTTCCCCAGGGAGAGAGGAAATTGTGCTCAACTAAAGCACAATTAGCAATGCTATACAATTGTTTCTCCTGTTATACCCAGTTATCTGGGAGGTGACCAAAAGTACCTGAAGGGCCCAGGAACAAAAATGTACAAAATTGTCACATCTCTATACCATCAATCAAAGCTTGACTGAATTTTTATCACAATGCGTGTTAATAATTAGTCCAATATTTAGACAGACTTAGACATGATTTTAGTGAGTGGAAAACTTGACTTGTTTCCGCAGGTAAGCCTCATTCTGGCCTCAGTTCTCTCTACTCTAAAATTACCATAGCCTTTGATACCTTCCTTAAACCAACTGGAGCTTAAAGGTTAAACAGAATGTCTAACAGGCTTCAACAGGAATGACTGTAGACACAGGGGGAATGGTGGGAGGTTGCATGGACTGCAGGAAGCATGCTCCTGGGGTGAATGCAAATACCCCTTCCAGAACTATTCCCCTGAGTAGGAATCCTGCACACCAAGAGGAAACCTTGCTACAGGTGTGAGGCCTTCACCAGTCCTAGCATTTTTCAATAGCAAAGAGTGAATGATTTCCCCCATAGGTTGTTTGATCAGCTCACAATGATTCAAACTCAAGAGACTTCCCCCATCTGCAACTGGAGTACTTAAGAATTATAGGAAACATACAACTTAAATTTCCATTAAGACGGAGCTAAAAACTTAAATAACGCAAGGTGGAGATGAATCACAGGAAACATAGAAACAAATATGTGGTATACGCAGATAACCAAGAAAGTTTTAATCGCCACATGTAAAAACAATATATTCATGTATCAAAATGGCTCCAAATTCTTTATCATCAACACCATCAACAGTCTAGAAATGAAATGATGCACTAGTTAAAACCTTCCTGTTCACAACTGAAGGATTTATGAACTGTTTTTTTATAAACACATTTTTTTACCCTGAGGCTGATACCATCACAGTGAAAAACAAAAGTCACCATCAAATGGAATTTATTCAATACAGAGTTTGAAAAAAACAATTGTCATTGTTGTGGAGTGATTTCTATTCATTCTCCTCACTGCCACTATGTGATGACAACAAGAAAAAATGGCAAATAGTTGCATCCAGTCTGATTATATACTGATCATACGATTCTCAACTCAATCTATTGACTAAAACAAAAAAATAAAATTTTAACATCCATTAACTCTATCTACACTATCATATTTTAAAACATGTATTAAAACCAGTTCTTTCTTATAAAAGGAGAGTTGGCAGTACATTCTCAGATAAAAATAACAGGACAGTGCTTTCTCATATTGGCTACGGCAGTGTACCCTCCATATTTCATATAAACCAACTAAGTAAGTTCAGAATCTGCCTTGAGATAAGATCACACATATCTAAAAGAAAAGAAAAATAACTTCCAAACGCTACAACAGTTATTCAAGTGCAGAGAGAGGTTTGTACATTAAATTGGAAAAAAAGCCATGTAGAATGGGGAATGATTTTAACATTTTTTGGTATGGTGTGCCACCTCTCCACAAGGCAGCCTAGTGACTGTGCCTCCTGTTATTTCCATGATGATCTCTGTATGTTTTTAAAATGTGCTCTTTCTAAATATTCATAGCACTTCAACCAAATCCTGCAATTAGGCTATACATATGAGTCAGGAAATCTTTACTGACACCTTGTTTCAAAGGTACTGTCCATGCAATTTCCTGGGGATTACTTACTTTCCACTGCACAATTACATATGTGGTAAGCTATAACGGAAATCTGAAGATTTACAGCACTTGGAAGAATTACCATCCCTAATCCTATTGAATGCTGTACTTTGATTATTTCTAGATGCCTTCCCAATTCAAATGATTTAAGTGAACAATATCAGCATGGACACTTACTGGAATTTTGATGGAGAAGTTATATCGTATTCACTAACACTGAGCCAAAACAAGGTGAAGATAATGAAGAGAGAAATCAGTATTAGAGTTAGAAAAAGGTTTTCTGTAAAGGCTTGGTATATATGCTTTCTTTCCCAGGCAGAATCATGGAAAGTCAATGCTTGAAAGACTTCTTACAGCCACATGGGCAATTCCCCATCTGGTACTTGACCTCCTATACAGCATTTCTACCAAGTTGTTATCTTGCCTCTACTTGAATACCTTTAGTAGCAGGAAATTCTTCCAATAATACTTTCTTCCTTAGAGTAGCCAAACAGATTGAACAGGTAAAGAAACTTCCATTAAGCATGATTATGAATAATATGTAACTTTTCAAAACAGTTAGTAGATTGTAAATAGCTACTCCAAAGGATAAAAGATTTGTTCCAAGCATTGCCTGCTTTCTGTAATGATTCAAAATGGGAAAATACAACTTTGAGATGTGAATTTTAGAAATCATTGAATTCTTGTAGGGGAGCAAATAAAAACATTTTAGAAGTGATCATTGTAGGGACTCCACAACAAAGGAAAAAAATAAATGTGTTTTATATAATAAAAATTTCATTTGAAGATGCAATAAACACCTTGCACAGCAAGTCCGGGTGCAAGAATTAAAGAGCCCCAGTGGAGGAAGTGTAGGCTAATTACGGTCTGCTGCCGGAGACAGAATGACAAGTCTGAGGCTGCCGCCTGCTATCCTAAGGCGACTGGTAGCAGGGTGCTCCATCTAGATTTCTGTCCTTCTGGCTTATCTGACCGAACTGCAAATGATTCTTTTTTGTGATTCCTCTCAAGGTGCTCAGACTATTTCAGGGTTTTAAATCTCTCCCTGAGAAGACCACCAAAGCCACATGTTGACTGGTAGATACTATTACCAGAATTCAATTCATAAAGGACCAATTCCTCTAATGGGACACATTTCTGTCTACATTTTTATTTTTTGAACATCTATGTGAATAAATCTGTTTGAAGTAAGACCATTTATTCTGAAAACACATATGTAAACTTTAAAGATTCTGAATTACCCTATTAGTTGAAACTCAGCTGATTCCATTTTGAATGGTATCTTTCACCTTGATGTGTTAAAATGGCAACAGTATCAATTTTTAACCAACATGACTATGAGAAATGGGCAAAAACAAAACAACAAAAAAACCAACCTTAAAGTCAGTATGTCTTTTTATATGGAGGCCACTTTTTCTTTCGTATTTTTTCAAAAGTACCAGATAATTAACATACTGGCTAGATGATGGGAGAGCAAATCTTCCTGCAAAAAAGAATAAAACTTCCTTGACCACTGAGATTTGGAAGTAAAATCAATGAAAGTCTATCAAGTACTCAGGATAGATTTGGTTGGCATCAAATACCACAAAGATCTTTGGATTCCAGGTATCATCCACACAGCTGTCATATAAATTCACATAGCTCCCGTCTTTGGAAGGAGGTCGCATGTATTTGGAGTCTCCATTTATGTAATCTCCAATTAGCACTCGAGCAAGAAACATAGATTTATATGTTCTAAATAGATGCCGCTGTTGCAAGCTGACACCATGAATTTGGAATGTGTTCCCATGCTTTATATCATCTTTGCAGAAGCGACTGGAGTAAGCAGCATCTCTAGCAAAATAGGTTCCTTAAACAAAAAGGACCAAAAAAGCCAAGATTACTCCTAAGAATATATTAAAAACAAGCAAAAACATTCTAATTGCCAGGAGAATAGATGCATGGAACTGGATAATAAAAATAGATGTGGAATCTCCTCATCTGCAGATCTTTAAGAAAAGAATAGAGATCCATCTGTTATGGACAGCTGTGGTGCAGCCTGCCTTAGGAATAGATTTGCTGGTATAGAACAGTCCTCACCGCCAACACCATCCCCGGCCCATGCCAAAATGAAGCTATTAGACTTTTGTAGTTTCAAAATTGCAAAGGAAATTTTCCAAAGACCCCAATAAATAACACAGTTAAAAATAGCTCAGTGATTAAAAAATGGTGGCAGGACCTGAGTTTTTACTGTGTGGCCCTCCTTCCCATTCCTATTTCCTTCTACCACTTCCCCACTCCATTACAACTACTGGTCTACAGACATTCTTTCGAACCCTAAGAAACCATGATACAGGGTAACAATTCTACATTTCTGGAAATAATAGAATCTCATATCTGGGAAAAGACTTCTGACGGAGAGCAATGCTATTTGTATCTGAGCTCTCAAAAAGAACAATTTCACTGGCTGACTGCCTGCATATGAAAACTCAATAAAGCAATCAACTCCTCCGAGATGGCAGACATGAGAGATTGAACATCATTAAGGGCATACTTACTCTAAAGAATTTTGGAAACAAATTGCAAAGTCTCATATTCACCCAATATTGCTGGGATTCATATAGCACTTTCCGACCTTTGCAGTTAAATAAAGGTCTATATAGACTTTTTAATAGTCTATATGAATAAAGGCTTTTGCAAAATACAGAATATGCTGATCTTAAGTGGTAAGATACCAAGTAAAGACCAGAAAAATAAATGTCTATCCCTTGCCTTTTTCCTTCACTTCTCCCCTTGATTTTCTCAAGCAGTGGGCATAAATTGGAGAACTTAGACTTTTACAACATTAGAAGTAAAATGAGATTTTACTCCACTATTCTTTATTGGTCATTAATATTCTTGCCCATAATTTTTTTTTAAAAAACAAAACAAACACACTAGTACCTATACCAGTGTACAATGTAGTTATAATTAATTTATTCTATCATTCTCTATAGATTTTCTATAAAGCAATTTAGCATATAGTCTTATAGGTGGAAAGGATTTATAGTAGAAAATTAAATATATTACGAAAATCAGCTAATACAGGTATGATGGCCCATCTGGATGGCTGGGATTTGGAAAGCTATTTAATCTGGTAGAAGTCTAAGAGTCTGAATTCCATCATGTATGATGGCTTTTCTATGGCACATAAACTCTTTAAGATAGGCCTGGAACCCAGCATAGTAAATTTTAACTTAATGCCTACCAAAACCCTGAATTCCAAAATAATTAATTATCTCTCAAAAGAGAAAACACTCTGGTAGGACTCCAACTGAACCTAGAATTCTGATAATTACCTTTTCCAAACACAGCACCATGTATGCCATTTATTCTCCAATCAAAGTTATGAATGCAAATTGCTTCCACAAATTCACTGCTGGTGCCATGAAATAGCATTTGTTCATTAATCTGAGGCACACCTCTTTTTTTCTTGAGCTGAGCCTTTTTCCTAAAAACACAAGACACACAGACCAAAAAAGCACACAGAGAAATATATCATAAATGACATTTATTAATCTTAATGAGTAAAGTTCAATAGAAAGGATGAAATAGAAAATATGTACTTCTTTATTATAAATCATAAGTAGACAAAGCAGAGCTGGAAGAGAAATATTTCCAAATGTTCTCGAACATGTAAGTCATCTCATCAAAAATTAAAGTTAACATGAAGACTTAAGGTTGAAAATTATACCAAAAACCATAGTTATCCCAGATTATACCCCATCATAGCAAAGGTAACTAATTGCCTAAATCAGCTAAGCTTCATAAATGTTTAAAAATGAGACAAGATGCAATTAAATATTTCGAAGTTCACAGAGTCTTCAGACATGAAGACTTGAATTCCTTAAGTAGGGATGAGGTCTTATTCTTTTTATCCTCACAGACTAGACAATGTTAGTTGAATTAAAATGAACTTAAAACTGTATACGTGCAGGAATATTAAGCCATCCACTTCAACCCTCTTTCCAATGAACAAATCTATTCTAGCATATAGGAGCATATTCAATGCAGGACTTACTGTAACAGAAAAAACCAAAACCAAAAGACTGAAAACAGCCTAAAATTCCTTCACAGAGAAGTAAACATATAATTATATATTTATATATAAATGTTAAAAGTAATGAACGTGGTCTATGTGCGTTAACACTGTAAATCTTGCCAGGTATGGTGGCACATGCCTGGAATCCTAACACTCTGGGAGGCCAAGATGGGTGGATTGCCTGAGCTCAGGAGTTTGAGACCAGCCTGAGCAAGAGGGAGACCCCATCTCTACTAGAAATAGAAAAATTAGCTGGGCATGGTGGCTGTAGTCCCAGCTACTCGGGAGGCTGAAGCAAAAGGATTACCTGAACCCAAGAGACCTCACCTCAACACTCTACCCAGGAGATAGAATGAGACTATCTCAAAAAATACAAAAACAAACATAAAACCAAAAGTCAAATCTTGAAAAATAATATTAAATGTAAAAAGAATGTTGCAAAAAGAGATATATAGCTCAAAATAATACAGTGTGTTATATAAATACAAACACAGGGAGTAACCAATATAAAAGAATGGACAAGAAAGCATCACACCAATCTCAGGAGCAAAGGAGGAGAGAAGATGAGGATGGGTAAATACTTCACCTGTGTCTATATGAAGAGGAAGAAAATGTGACAAGTACCAAAATGTTAAATCTGACTGGTAGATACACGGTAGACTGTAAACTATATGCTGTATTTTCATTTCTGAAATATCCCATTAAAAACGATGTTTTGAAAATTAAAAAGAATTCCCCCCTTACACCTCTGAGAGCTAGTTATTTAATGTCTGCTTCAATCCTTTCTAGGGTCAAGTACTCACTGCTTTGTAAGACAGCACAACCTATTTGTGATGTGTTATAATTGTTGCCAAGTGGATCTGCTGCTTCTACTGATTGATGTTAGTTATTCCCTCTGAACACAGAACAATTCAAATCACTCTTATGCAGAATAACTCTGCAAATCTCCAAAGATACCTATGAACCCCTACCGAAACTTTCTTCTCTAGGTTGAACTATACCATTCCCTCAACTACTCCTGATACAGAATAGCTTCCAGGCCCTTCTCTGCCCAGGACAGTCTTTAATTAACAAGCACCTGGTGGATACCTTCTAGTGTATAAGTGTTGATAAGAACAGAAACAGTCCAGACATCATCAGACAGCACTGACCCGCAGCCCCACTGAATTCATTTTGGCAGCAGGGGCATCAGACTGCTTATATAAGGAAGTAGGTCGTCAATTAACACTCCCAGGATTTCTTCATACTAGACCTCCCTTAGCTTGCTGTATATGTACAGCTGATTTATAAACCAAATGCAGATTTATTTCAGTTAAGCCTTACTTGATATTGTAAATTTAAAAGTAAAAATTAGGCAACAAAGTAAGATATCCGTATCTCAGGCAGACAGATTTTATAAGCAACATGGAACTTAGTGAATATGTGGAGAGACAGATACTTGCATATAAATGGGGACGTGAAAGTGTACACAGTTTTTCTCAAGAATCATTTGGCAATGTGAATTAAAATTCAATATGTATATGCTTTGGTCTACTGAATATGCTCTTTTCATACCATTCGCGTGACATCAGAAGAATGTACACTAAGCAAAGATTTACTTCACCAAAAGCCAGCTGTTTTCACTAAAAGCAAATTCTACCAACTTTCTTTTTAAGAACTTATGTACTGTCTCACTTTTTAAAATAATGCACATTTGTTCCTTTTGTAACTAAGAAAAAAAAAACATTTTTTTTTTTGGAAGATAAAATTTGTTTTGACCCACTATTTCAACCTTCCAAGGTCTTTCTGACTCTTGATTCACTCACACAACAAGCTACTCCTTCTGGTTTTGGATCTTTCACAAGTATGATAAGCAAGCCTTCCACATTTCAATCTACAGCCCTGAAAAAATATTGAGGGACTCAAGAAGAAAGCCTACATGTCATTCAAGTTACTCTTTGCATAAGAACTTTAACTATTAGATTTTTACTATCACCTGGCATAAATTTCTCTATCATCGTCTCCATCAACTACTTTATAGAAACCAAGTTTCTATAAAGACTGTTTAAAGGGATTACTGTCTACCACTATGGGGATCTGATTAATTCGTTTGGCATTTGTGAACCCACACTGGGTTTTCTGAAGTAAACATTTGTTTAATACATACTATCAAGCTTTATGGTCTATAAGGACTAGAATCCACTATACTCTAAAAAGTCAGGATATTCAATTCACCACTACTTTTCAGTTATCCATTAGAATGAATCTCAGTTTGAAATTCAGAAGTGTCTGTCTTAGATATTAAAAATGAACTGTAATTTAAAGAGCCTGGAGTACGGACACTGGCATGTATTGAAAACACTGCTTGGTTACTCTGCTTGGTTACTGGACTGGGTAGAACATATACGTAGTTACCAACTGAAGGCAGAGCAGGGTACAGGGATTAAAGCTTTGCCTCTCCACAGCACAACCTGTTCAAGTGCCCACTACTACAGCACCCATGAAATGTGGACACTCACAGACTATGACCTTGGTGTTCCAGAAAGGCTAAAGTTGAGTTCCAGGGCCTCTTGAACTTCAATTAAACCTGCAAGGAAAATGACAAGACTACACTAAGTTCTTCACAACCCTGCCCCCTTTCCCAAACCCACATTCTCTTCTGAACTTACTGAAAGTACTGTGGCACCCATTTCTTAAAGATGTCTCAAAATTACCCACCCTCTTAGGAACTAGAGTTCCAAAAGACTAAACTATATATGCCATGTAGCCTGTACTGGAGCAGGAACATCTTCATGCTCTGAATTAAAATAAGTTTGCCTAAGTATAGACCAGTGATCCTCTACCCTAACTGAATATCAGAGTCACTTGTAGAACTTTTTAAAGATAAAAACTTTAGAACCCAGAAGTTCTGATTCAGTAGATCCGGGATGAGTGACAGCTATTTTTATGTGTTGATAAGCTCCACAGGTGATTCTAACATGCAGCCAGGTTTGAGAATCTCTGATATAAATCCACATTTTGAATAGTCAGCAGCTTTGGCTACCTTATTCTTCACAACTCTAGAACAATCTAGCCATCTTCCCTATCAGCTCTGACATTCGTACTGCTAGAGACAGTACAAATTGAACATAACATCCCCATGGTTTCCACTACAAACTCACATACTCTAACTTCAGCTGAACCCTCAATGCTGATAGAAATCCTGTCATTCTCAAGTTCTCAGCCATTTCCTACAGCAGCCATTTCATGTCTCCCCTTTTCTTTTTCTTTTCCTCTTACCCACACCTCCCTAACACTTCTTCTTATTTCACCAAGGAAATGGAAAGTATTAGGAAAGAATTGCCTAACCTAACTCCCTTCTTCAACCTGTACCTCTACGTCTCTATACCAACTGGACCACCCTTGCCTATCTCCCTTCTGACATGTGTTCTCCGAATTTCATCCCATCATACCTCTTCAGAAGTTGTAATCCATTGATTACCCTTCTTTTCTTTCTCTAGTCCTAAGAGAAAGAGAAATTCTTTTTCCCTATAGGTTCTTCCCAATCTCAGTACTCAGATCTCTCCCATCATTAAACTCAAAAATATTAAAAAAACAAAAACCCTCTTCCCAATCTTACATTTACCTATCTTCTCCTATCTTTCATCCTCTTTACTGCCAAGCTCCTTGAAAGAGTTGTTGACATTTGCTGTATACACAATATAATGTCTATTACCATTGCTTTCATTAAGGTTGCCTTCTTACTGCAAAAGCTGAAGGAAGCTCTCAGTATTCATCTGACTTGACATCGCTTCAGTATGTGATCTTGCAGATGACACCCACTTGTATAAACCAGTTTTTCCTTCAGTTTCTCTAATTACACATTCTACTGTTTCCTCCACTTTCTGTGGTTGTTACCTCTGTTTCCTCCTTGGGTTTTCTGTTTCTCTGTTAATCACTTCCAGGATTTGATTCTTTGCCCTCTTCTTTTTAAAATCATCTTATTTATTCCTATAGTTTCTATTACCCCACATTTTCTAACTCCAAACCAGGGGCGTCCAACCTTTTTTCTTTTCTGCTGCATGTTGGAAGAAGAAGAGTTGTCCTGGGCCGCACATGAAATACACAAATGCTGGCAAAAGCTGGTTAGCTTATCACAGATAAGCAGGAGAAGTCCTCATAGAATGAGCATGCAGCCCACAGGCTGCAGGTTGGACACCCCTGTACGCCCCTCTTCTGAGCTTCATATTAACTGCTGCATATCAACTACTACATCCTCTCCCCATCCCTAAAGGGGTCCCTACCCATATTCCCTCATCAAATTGAAACAAGCCAGAAACTGGGAGTTATTGTTCTCCTATCCCTTCCCCACCCATAACACACATTAAATCAAACACCAAGCCCCACTACCTTAGTATCTCAACACTGTCCTCTTTGCTCCACCACAGCAG